ACACATTACTGCTCAATAATGAGCTTGGACTCAGTGGACTAACATTGAAAAATACCACTTCCTGCACTGTAGCTATGGTTATGTAGCAGCAGCAGCTGTGACGAGATCCTAGAAATTGAAATTCATTGTTGGATTCTTCTACCTGCGTTCTTTCATATGAGAGGAATACCACCACCAGGGCAAAGTTAAAACCAGTGTGCACAGAATTAATTATATTCAAATGAAAGGAAAAGGATTCTATTTCCAGACACTGTTCAAGTAACAGAAAGATACACTGTATCAGGCAGGAAGTGTGTTTTGCACACCGTAGGGCACGGCTAGCCAGCATGCGGCATGTGTATTGCCTCTTGCTTAGCTATAACCCAACCACCTCCCTCCTATTTTGGTGGGAAAACATGATGTCAGACATCAAAACTTCCCAGAGAAGACAGATGCTCACTTGGGACTGCAAACTAAGACCCAGAAGGAGACCGCAGTTTTATGCAGATGGGAGGCATAATTGTAATTCCCCCTGGGAAGGCTCACAATCCCCTGTTGGTTTAATGATCCGGTGTCACTGCCAATCTAGCTGAAAATCTCTATGCAGAGATGACAAAGGACATGCAGCACACACACGTGCACACGCACACACGCCTGCCCCAGTGCACACAATGCCAGTTCATCAAGGCACTGAAGCCTAGAAGTGATCCCCCTACCAAAGTCTTCTCTACACAGACCTGACAACTGCCACCATTTTCCCACTGTCATCCACTATTGGCCCCATTTTCTATCCTTGCTGGTATCCCTGTCCTAAGTGGAAACCCAGAAAAACACCTACAGCAGACCCAATCTTCAAGAATAACTCCAACTATTGAGCAGGTAGAATGAGTCCACTGATACAAGCAAATGGCTTTAATATTATTATCTACCAAATGTTTCTTAGATGAAAGACAAAACACTTAATGGGCTCTGAAGGCTAAATTGCATTATACTTTCATTTCCATCCCTATGATTGATGTTGGGAGGCAGTGCTAGTGACCTGGTCAATAAGGTGTTGTTCCACCAGTGGACTTTGGGTTCAGACCCTTGGTCTAAGCTGACTCATCATCTTGGCAAAGCAGCTTCCCTGTCATGTGAGCTGTGTGTCACCCAACAATCCAGACGCCTGCCTCCACCCAGGCCTCTGGCACTACCTGGACTCCAGCCTTACATGGTACTGCAGGGCCCAGGGTGACAGCGAGGGGTTCCCTCCCTGTTCCTCAGCCTCACAATCACATGACCACATTTGCTACATCAGTTTCTATTATTCAGGTAAATAAGAACTTCATTATTAGTCTGGAACTTTTGTAGGATGCTGAGATTGATTTTTAAAAGGAAAAAAACTCAGTTTTGACAGTGCCGATTGAACTAGGAGTGGGATTACCAGGCCACTCTTTTGTGGAAATTAAGTCAGCACAAAAAAGATATGGAGCAGGCAAACATCTTATCACTCAGGGTTTCCTTTAAAATTCATTTTAACTATAGTTGACTTCCATCATGGTTTTTAGCTTTTGTTGTTATTTTCTAGTCCATTTGTGCTTTACCTATGTCCATATAGAACAGAGGAAATAAATGTCCAAGATTATAGCTTCTAGCTCAACAATGTGATTAGGCTGGGCATTTAATGAAATACTGAGTTGTCCTATAAACATACAAGTCAAGGGTCAAAGCTGTGTTGAACTTGAAGGACCAATTCCCGTTGGTCATGAGTTGAGATGGTTACTCTAACTTCCCTAACGCCACTTCCTCTTGTACACACACAAAAGTTCTTTTGTCTCAAGCAACATATGTTGTGGAATTTAAGCTGCTCTCCCAAACAGCATGTTGCAAATGCGGGAGTACGTGTGGTAGAAGTTTCGGTATCTTGAAACTGGAATGTAGGGTGATTCATGAGTGTTGTATCAATTATTAAACAATCCTAGATGAAGATATGTAGAGATGGATGGGGCAGTAAAGTATTCTGGTTACATCTACCAGCGTAGCAATGATAAATGAGTCAGGAAACATGAAAGTTCAAAACAGGTATTAGCTTGAGCTGCAGTGGCATACGCTCCAAGGTGAAGGTGGACTGCAGCCTGATGTCAACGACCACATAGGTAGACCAGCTGGCTGGTGAGATTAAAAGAAAGGTAAGGCCTACAGGAGTGCTAAGGAATTTTGAATCCAGCCATACCAATCACTTTCTCTTGCAGGGTTCTTTTTTTCACTGAGGTACATCCTAAATCCTCTATTTTTTTTTTTTAATTTTGAGACAAGGTCTTGCCCTATCACAAAGTTCCTGAGGCTGTGCTTGAACCTGCAGTCTTCCTGCCTCAGCCTGTCAGAGTACTGGGATTACAGGCATGTGGCACTATATCCAATTCTTGCAATATTATTGAGAGAGATGTGGCGCTGAAGAATGATAATACCTAGAAAACCTGGACCATGCCTGCTATTCTATAATGCAAAGTTCCACTAATACTGGCTGGGGTCATGTGGCTTAGACGAGAACTTGAATTCTACCTTAGACCTGAGTGGATCTTAAGGGCAGATTGAAGACATTTGCAGAGTGTAAACAGGACAGTGTATCTGTTGTCCCAAGGAAAGCAAGTTTTGTTTCATTTCTTGGCAACTGAGCCCAGGGTTCACATTGGAAAGTGCTACTTAACTCTTTCTTTTAATACTCATCTTCACCAAAAGGAAAGGCCCACTTTTTTGTTCTGAGAATGAATGAGATGAATCTAAGAGCCCCGTGGCCACACACAACTCTAGAGCTCTGTGTTAACATTGGAAGGGCATAAACTACACACAAGCAGAACCTTACCATTGAGCCCTAGTGCGTAAGCAGAGCATTGCTAACCCCAAGCCTGGTCTCCCCACCACCCTCCCATTGCTCCCTGCTACTCACTTTCTGGGAAGTGTTAGTAACGGGGAATTTGAGAGCCTTGACTCATCCCTGAGTACTTGACAGGGCCTGAAAGCGAAAAGAAACAGCCTACCTGCCTTAGGTTCTGTCCAGGTCAGGAATCTCTATGCCTAACCCCTTGCTAATCACTCACTGGAAAGCTGGAACTAGTAACTAATGTAAGAGGTGTACCCTAGCACTCTGCGCTTTGCAGTCAGGGCACCCCAAGACAACTGCACATACTAAGCCACCTTCTCTCCTCTGTACATGAGAGTGATTGCTTTCCCAGCCATGCTGGAGTTGGTTGCTCTTCAACTCCCAGGCACTGGTCATGTAAGCAGGCCTGCTAAAGTTGTATCAAGAGCTCAGCATAACTTCCTTCGTGTTGTGTTGTCTCCTTAAGCTTCATTCACTGGAGAATTCTTCCTGAGAAAATGGACTCGATTTCTAGTTTGGATCATTAATAAGCAATGGAGCAGCTATTTCCAGGTGAAGGTGCCATAGGCCAGAAGTTACCCATGGACAACATTCCACCCAAAGATAGCTTTTGTCATCATGATGTTGAAAAAATTAGTCACCAGAAGATTTTTGCATAAAATCTAGATGCATAGCCGCTGCTTCAAAAAAATTGAGAACATCAGACAGTGCAATATTTTGTGGTTTCTGTTGCCTTAAACTGAGTAGTTTCTTGTCCCTTAAAAAGAGCCACAGCTTTTTTAGTATACCGGGATTACTTCACTCATGCTATTCTGTGCCTGTGTAGGAGCTGGGTTTGCTACCTGTGGGGTGAATCATCTAAGAGACCAAAATAAGAAATTGTGAATTTATCTGTAGATGTGTCTAAGTTGCAAGTAACTAAGGCTGAGGCCTTATTATTCTGACTTTTGCACAAAGGATGACCGTTCAGGGGATTTTATATATGGAAAAAGATAGTTACTCTATGTAGAGAATTTTACACTACTTACCTGAATAAATCAAGCATACAAAGAAAACCCTGCACTGATGATATAAAAGTAAGATTGGAGATTTCAATTATTCAGGGGTAATTGCCTTACTTTTCCACCTCGCTGTTTCCCCTTTGCTTTCCTTATATAGACATAATCTTCAGAATATTCCTCAGTCAAAGACCATAGTCATAATTCCTCTGCTTTTTCTTTTCTTTTCTTTTTTTTTTTTTTTTTTTTAACTCTTTTGCACTCTTGGTAGCAATTGTTGGAGCCCTACGGGGGAATAATTGGGGAGAATTAACCTCTGACATTTTTCTAAAAATAGCCCTAATAAATCCAATCATAGGTAATTTACCTGTCCATGTTCTCCGGGAGTAACCACCATCGAAGAAAGACTTGGCAGGCCGGCATTCCTTCAGCAATTATCTGGGATCTGAGTTACTGGCGCCTGTGCCTTTTCTCGTTTTAGAAATACAGAGTACAGATTGCCCTTTCCCCTTTGACCCCGTGACCTTTTATTTTCTCAGGACCCTTCTTCTGGAGTTGGAATAAGTCCTTGCTTTTCCAGAAGGGTGTGTTGGGCTAACACAAAAAGGGGGCTCATGGGTCAAGCTGGAGCATTTACGACGTCCTTCCTTGAATTTCCAAGGGTCTCTTTCTACTCTGTTCTTCCAGGTTTGGCATCAGAGTTCCAAGCGTCCTAACCCTGCTTCATTTCAATTATCAGCCCTAATTTGAATCACCACAGTGGTACCCGGTCTGAGGAGGTTTCCCAGTGTTGAAGAAGAGCAGAGGCAAAAGGCCATGAGTGGGTGAAGGGGTTGTGGTTAGCACACATTATCCAAGAAAACTGCCATTTCCCTGAGCCAGAGAGAAATTCAGTTTCCCAGACAAAAGGGTCCAACCATGCTTGCCCCTTTTGTTCTCTCCAGATGTTCCAAGAGAACACCGTGCAGGGCAGTCATTTAGGAAATTTACTTTCCCAAGTGCCACTCCTGGTGGCATTTAAAACACGGAACATAAAATCCTTGTAAATTCCACTGCACAGACAAAGCTCTAAGCCCTTAAATGCATGGAAAAGTATGTCTATTATCTATCCTTTCAAAGTAAGTGTGCAGTTACTTAAATTGCCTTTGTCTTCTTCTTTTCAGCTGACATTATCTCTACGGTAGAATTCAACCACACAGGAGAATTACTAGCGACAGGGGACAAGGGGGGTCGGGTTGTAATATTTCAACGAGAGCAGGAGGTAAGTGGCAGTGAATGCAAAATGCCCATTTTCTTCTCTTTTTAAAGGAGGGCTCCTACTGTTCCTTAATCCTCATGTGTCGCCCTTAACCTTGCTGCTTTGTTCACAAACTTAAAACTGCCAAAAAGTCATCAGCATTGCTAGCTCCACACTCAGACTCACAAAAGCATCCTAAAAGGGCTTTTTTTTTTTTCTCCTACACATGGCCTTATCTTTCCAAGCCTGGATAGTACACATTCAAAAGGATTTTGCTTCTTATCTGACCTGCAAAATTCCATGGGTGCTTATTGAGCATAACTCTTCATTTTGAATTGCAATTTGTCCTCCATCTATTGAGATTCAGGCTCCCTCAGTTTCAGGTACTGCCAGAAAATGCGGGAGGGAAAAAATAGCTTTATTTGCCAGCCGATGTGAAGAGGACAAGTTGAGTCAGCAGAGAAGAAAGTGATAGCTCACCCTTCCAGCGGGAGTGAAGTTCCCCAAAATGACATCTCACCGGAGGTACACAGCAGACACGTTAGCACAGGTGACACTCAGGTCCCTGGGGCTGAGTGCTATATGCAGCATGATTTCTGAGCATGAGCTCTAACTTCTAGTGAATCTCAGAAAGCCCATTTCTTCCTGTGACTTGGGTTCCACTAGGAATTGTTTCTCTTTTTCACATAAATTAGGTTTTTTTGGTGTCTGCTTCTGTTTTGTCAGAATGGAATTATGGCCCAATTTGATTTCCTTGTCCTCCCCTGGCACGGTCTTGGAGCCTCCAGCAGGCTGGTCTGTGTTCTAGTAACTCTCCCATCTGCCACTGCCTGCCTCTGAGATTCACGGGGCACTCAGGAAGCTAGAGGGAGGCCTGGTGTAAGAGGAAGGCTTCACAAGAGACTTCCCTAGCAATTTAATGCCTGCTTTGTGCCTCAAAGCCATTTGCATGACACCTCCCCTCAAAAAAGGAAAGCCTCATTTAGAGGTGATATATTTGGTAATTGCACATTATTTGCAATTAATTTCTATAAGGGCATCCTAATCCCTAGGGGTTCTATATAAATTCAAGTGCTCAGCATTAAATCAGGCACCCAGCCTATTGCATTGGCCCTGGAAATGTGAAAATGTGGTTGGCAAGTAGGAACTAATAGCTCTTCGTGACCTGGAATTTTTCCTGCTTTTCCAGAGCTGCCTGGTGCTAATTGGTCTGGCACATACTACACACACTTGACAGTCTGATTTGGATGGTAGCAAATCAACACTCTTACAAATTTATTGTTAAGGTGGACTGGTGCTCCGTGCAAGTGAGCAGGGTGGTAGCAGCTAGAATGTCAGCATTTAAAGTCCTGTGAAAACTGATTTTCAAACCTCTGATTTAAAAAAAAAAAATCCAATTAGGTTCACAGTGATGATAAAGAGGAACCCGAGGAGCTATTTAGCATAAATTACCCAAGACAGCATGTTGCCAGTAATATTCCACCCCACTTTTTCTGTTAGCTATTTATAGGTTTCACCCATTTTAATTGACAGAAATATTTGAGAAATCTGATTCATTAGTAGAATAGTGGAGGACACATTTTCCAAAGTAAGGTGGTGGTGCTCACTGGGAAATAAATGTGAATGAGGATAAAGAGGATGCAGTAAAGTGTTTGGCTTGGTAAGGTATTCGGGAATTAAAATATAAGCTGAACCACACCCACAGAGCTATGTGACATCATTTTGGAGCAGGCCTCTTTTTGACTTTTGTGGGTGAACTCTGCATGTGAATTTTCAAGGAGCACAAATCCCAGAGAGGCCGCTTGTGGAATCCTCCAGGCCAGGACCAAAGCTGGAATATAGACAGAATAGCTTTTCACACCTGGGTCCAGCATCACTACCCACTGCTAGGTTGAGATGTGGCTCTGGGTGTTCTGTAACACCAAGGGAATGCCTTAAACCTCTTATTAAAAATCAAGCTTTTATAACAAATGTCTAATAAGACCCAGATTTGAATTTGGGAACAGTTTTCTAAAGTCTAACTCTCAAAGTTCTGGGAATGACCCAAAACATCTTATATAAATCCTTCCTGCCTTTTTCCCCCTTCTTTTTCTCACTTTAGCATGCCATTTTTCTTCCTCTCCCGCTTCCTTTTTCTTTCTCTTGACTTTTTTTTCCTGTCCTTTGGCCTTATGTCTCATTCTCTCCTCATTTATTTAATTCCTGCTGTTTGCACTTTGCATAATCAGTGCTGGGGAAACCAGAGATGAAGCCCATCATTCTCTTAAAGATGCAGATGGCACCTCTGTGCTCCTCTCTGCTTTGTGATTCATTGGAAAAAAGGGAGGGCACAATGCCCAGATCTGCTCTTTATCAACTACGTGACCTTAGGAAAGTCATTTAATACATGATCCTCATTTATCTATTTGCCCTTCCTGACTACTACCTCTCAGGAATTTTGTGTGAGGATCAGGCAAGGTATTAAAAGGCCAGTGGCTGTAAAGTAAAAGACAGTAAAAGCTGCAATTGCTACAACTTTGTACTTTTTAAAAAAAAAAAGGATTGATATAAGTATCTGTGCGCACCACTTGGTATATCTCAGTCCAGGAGATATGGGAGGCATTTGTTGGGGTACACAAAGAAAATATGAGAATTTCTATTTATATCAATTTTAAAATCTTGTCCTGTGTTAACTTCTATTTCTATGTATGTATGATGTTCATATATTAGTGCAGAAGTTCATGGATATAATTTATAAGTGCATGTGTATTGGAGAGACCAATATTTACCAACAGGATGAAAGATCGAAAGCTTCAGAGGCCCCTGAGCTAAGGTGTCACATGTCACAGTCTTGGTCGTGGCCTCATCCCACTGTGACACAGCCTCCTCTGCCCACCCCTAGTGACTCTGTTCAAAGAAAAAGAATTGGTGAGTTTGAAATTGGCTTCTATGATTTAACCTTTTGTGTAATTTTCCCTTCCTACAGAGTAAAAATCAAGTTCATCGTAGGGGTGAATACAATGTTTACAGCACATTCCAGAGCCATGAACCCGAATTCGATTACCTGAAGAGTTTAGAAATAGAAGAAAAAATCAATAAAATAAGATGGCTCCCTCAGCAGAATGCAGCTTACTTTCTTCTGTCTACTAATGGTATGTGGGGGTGATTTTTCCTACTTGACATTTTCAGAGATATAGTCAGCCAACCATATATGTCAATCTCTCTCAGACTCAATTTTCTTCTATACCTTGTGGGCTCTTGAAGAACTTAGAAACCACAATTGCAAGATTCTGAGCAGCCCCTGGCACACACAGCATAGGCCTTCGGTAAATAATAGCTATTCTTCTTGTAAATACCAAATTTATGACCCAATTATATGAAACCCATTATCTGTAGTTTTCAGCTAATGTAGATTATTTGCAGGTGTTTTATCGAATGTGACTTCCTGTCTTAAGAGTCACTGAATGTTATTCTGGGAATACATTGCAGGAAACTCGACATGCTCTCTCTGTGAGTTTGGCATATTGAATAGAGGTTATTAATCCTTGCATATATTTTAGGGTCTGGAAAGCAGATGGCTGTGTGTCATCTGATGAAATCAAATTCTAAGCTGGGAGCATAAGAGATAGGACACTGCTAAAAAGAAAAAGTGAGCAAGAAAGGGGTTCCTTCTCTGTCTCCCTCCAAACTCTTCTTTTACCATTCGTTGATTTAGGAAAAAATCTATGTAAATAGGTCACGAGAGAGGAGGTTGGAGGTGAGCGGAAGGCCACATGCAACAGCACCTCAGTATGTGGAATTATCTATCCTCTGGGTTATTCAACCCTTGCTTAAAACAAGTCATCTGTGCTCAAAACAATTTGAAATAAAGTCGTATAGTAAAGGGTGCTAGTTGACTAGCATAACAGGATTACTATGTAGAAATTAAACACCATTTCCCAAACAGATAAGTGAGGAAGCAATTCATTTCATCTTGTGTGTGAGTCAGTGAGGAGTGTACACTTTAATATAAATCAAAAAGCAAAGAATTTGCTTTTTACCTATACCTAGTATAAGAGTAGGCATACTTACAAAATATGTCTAGTAAAAAAATGCAGACCATGTCTATACTATGATCGAGCATATTATTTTTAAAGAATAGGAAGAAACACTAAAAAGTTCACCATAATTAATTTTTGATTATGCATTATGGATGCCTTAAATATTTGTTCCTCTTGTCATCTTAATTTTCTAAGTTTATACAGTGAGTCATATATTAGTCTTCTGAAAAATTGGCAAAATTTTTAAAGTATATGAACCCCAAATCCCTTAAATATAAGCCCAATGTACAAATGTAAAACGTTTCTGAAACTTACAGTTATCCAAGCAAATCTCATCTCTACATGAACAGATCTCACTAAACTGTTTCTCCAGATTCCAAGTAATTTAATTTTCACATAGCCATGCTTATTGTTCTGTTTAATTTTTGAAGCCCTAATTTCTTGGGAACTGCATGATTTTGTTGTAATTTCTTCTCTTTTAATTTTGCTGCTCAAGTTTCATTCAAGGGCTCTGTAGTTTCAATACAACTTAGAATAACAGAGATTTCTGCTGGTTTTGACTTAATTACTTCTGGCAGAGGATAAGTGTCTGATTACCTTAGCTAGATTATGTTATATTATGAAATTTAGCCTATTGATTATTGCAATAAAATTCAGAGTTATTAACTACTTTGTAGGGGGGATGGGAAGGAAAATGAAATGCAATGAAGATTAATTATACAGCATAATGTTCTGTTAATTGAGTTTTTAAATAGTTTTTTGATTAACAAAGATATTATCTTCCATTTGGGATGCTATTTCTTATGCCAACCGCATCTCAAAATGATTTGTATAAGACAAATTCTCATGATCTTACACGATTTTCTTTTTTATACTAATATTAAGGTTGAAAGTCTACCCTAAGCCAAATAGGTTAACATGCAAAAATTAACGGGAGACATTTGGAATTACTGTAGAAAAGAGAAAATGAAGATAAGGTATAAGATTGTATTTAAAGCTACCATAAGCAATGCTAAACCACTCAGAGAATCAGACAGAAGAAGGAAAAAGCCACATGCCCTTTAGTCTTTCTTATCCACAAAACTTTAAGACACTGAGTCCAAAAAATGGTGTGCTGATAAAGTCAAGGATGACTCCAAGCAATACAACCATGGGGAATTGGATTGAATTCTCTGTCAATTAGCTTTTTTAAAAAAAATTGTGCTCGTCTCATAATGGTTGGTTGCAGTTTTTACTTTCCACTAGAATATGTTTTCAACTTAATCACTTTTAATGAAAAATACTACTAACATTCAATTGTGAATCTACACCTTGAAATTATTTGACATGTAAAATACATTGCTTTACCTAGCCTCCTACTTCTGCCTTTAAACCTCTAAGAAGAGAAACACTGAATTTGGCTTCCATTTTATGAAAGTATATGTTCATTGTAAAATTTTGGAAACTACAGAGGAGCAAAATGAAAATAATAAAGGTATTCTAGGGAGCTGGGGATTTAGCTCAGCTGCACAGCGCCTGCCTGGCAAGCGCAAGGTCATGAGTTCAATTCCCGGTACTGGAAAAAAACTGAGGAAAAAAAAAAAAAAAAAGAAAAAAAGAAAAGGTATTCTAATCCAGACAGAATTACTATCAATGTCTCTCAAAAAAAGGATAAAAGGAATACATAAATTCTGTTTTTAACAGAAATGCAATATAGTCTCCAAACTGTTTTGTAGTCAGGCTTTGGATAATATAACCCTTAATTTCAAAGCTATTTTCCTAACTGTTAAATTGTCTTCTAAGCTGCTATAACATTTTCAATGACTCCATAGTATTTCCTTTGATTTTTTTATAGTTTAATAATTCTCCCACTAATGGACCTTTAGTGGTTAATAAATTATCCCTACTATAAATTATAAAAAACATTTTGTATGCATATATTATATATAACAGATTCCTATAAATATATCTATAGGGCTATATATTGGTAGGGGTAAATATATAATATTAGGCAAAATACATTTTCAAGTATATAGCACATTTACTAAAATAGTTACATGATTGTATAAACAAATATGAAAAATATACAGAAATTTTCATAATAGCTATCTCTTTCTAGTAGAATTGAGGGAGGTTTTTTGTTGTTTATTTTTTGGTTTTTTGAGACAGGGTCTGTCTGGCCTTCATCTCACTGTGTTCAGACTGGCCTTCACCTCGCTGTGTAGCCAACTCAAAGAGGGAACTATTTTTACCTGGTTGCTATTTTCACTTTCTAATTGCAAAGACATCTACTTTTTATATAATAAGAAGGGGGAAATGATAAAAACTCAAAGTCTGTATATTCAGCATTATTACAGGTTTGCAACTATCCCCCAAGAAACCTACAGGGAAAAAACACAAGAATTTATATAAAATGTTCACGATGAATTGTTCCTGACTAAAGGGACTATTGGTGATGCTTCTTCTTTGTGTTTCACCTGTAATTTCTCTCTTTGTGTAGCAGTTTATCATTCATGTTGAGAAAAATGTAAGATAAAAATTGCCTTACACATGGGATGGGGTACATTTCAAAGTGAAGCAGAAAATCTCGAATCTTTCATGTTAAAATTCACTGACACTCGGGCTGTTCTTGGCCACAGCTGATCAGAAGCTGATCAAGTGCCTATAAATATGTCTCATTCTGTCACCCCGAAAAATAGTTTTGTGTGCAGCAGGATCTCCAGAGAGGGTGGGGTGAGAAGTGCCGGCGTGAAGACAGTTCTAAATTAATCCCACAGCTGGGAAAACTTCTGCACCTTTTTGCCTCATCGTAGGTCAGGGCGAGTACATGGGTGACAGCGTACAGATTGTGTACTTAGCACCCTGCCAAGTAGGATCAGACTGAACCAGCCAAGTGATGCCCAGAAATGTGGAAGCCGGGATGCTTACCTGTTAAGGTAGTGCCCTTGCTATTGAAAGGCCACAGTGTGGTACATTTAAGATCCCCAAGATAAGTCATTTGTTTCCCACAGCTTTAAAGGATCATGGCTGGGACCTCACATCCCTTTGCTTGCAATATCTGTCCTGAAGGCGAGGAAATTTGGAAGCAACTGCATGGAGCCCAGTGAGGAAAAATGGAAGAGTGAGATAAAGGGGCAAAGGAAACCCTACTACAGGCAGGGTATAGGGGCAGCTTTTGTCCCCTGGCAGGACTACAGAGTCAATAGGATGTGCAGACATCATTGTGGGATGGGGCTAAACCTTAAAGGCAACACGTAATTATTGCAGAATAACTGCTTAGTCTGCTAATTCTAATAATAGCTGCCCATTGGCGGGTCATTATTAGAAGCCCAACATTGTGCTAAACATTCTACATGCTGTGAGTCACTTAATTCAAGAGTCTCATGAGGAACACAGTATTCCCCCACTTTACAAGTAAAGAATGGGTCACAAAGTAACTATCTTTACTTATAATGTTGCAATATATGGGACATGCTTCTACTAAACAATTATTTGTCATTTACCTAGAGTGCAAATTTTCGTGGGCATTCTTTACTATTTTTGCTGCTATAGGTAGTGATCTTCTTTGTCATTCAAGAAATACTAGCATGTGTCTTCTGCTCGAGACCCCTAGTCTATGGCCACATAACTGGCAAGAGCTAGATTTGAGATTAGGCCCAAGGGTGTCTGATCCCAAAGGTACCACGACAGAGAAGTCAAGTGTCCCTGACTTCCAGGGGAGAAATCAACACAGGAATAAAAGTGAATGGAGGGTTGATTAAGGAAGGCATATAAGGGTATGTAGCCCACAGATATGATTTGTTAAACAGGATGCAATACATTCTGTTTCCTTAAAAAATAATGTATGGCAAACATGTACTAATAAAATATATTTAAAGGCAATTGAAAAATTTTTCAAAAACTTAGAGGAAAAAGCCTATAAGCAGGGCATGTCATCTCCAGTTCCCCAGAACCCCTCACCCTGGTCTGTCACTCTGCCCTCCCCACGGTAACCCTTGTAGGGTTCAAGTGGTATAGGGTGTTAGGACAACCCAAAGGTGACCAAGGCCATTTCTACCTGGGAATGACAAGGAGAAAGGGAATTTTGATTTGTCAACAAACCGGGTGACTTCACTAGATGTTGCTAGAAATATACACTGTGCAGATAAGATTCATTCATTCATCCAGCTGATATTTAATGAGCATCTACTATGTCCCCAGTACTGTTCCAGCTGTTGAAGGTTCAGTGATGAACAAAATATGCAAAATCTCTGCCTCCAATGATTTTATATTCCAGTGGAAGTCATGTAGTAAATAACCAGGCAACTTACCAATTATCAGGTAGTAAAAAATACTAGGCCAAAAAAAAGAGAAGGAAATGGAACCAGAAAGGAGGTGAGGACAGCATGTTCATGTAGGTTTTATGTGAGGGTGGGACATGTACAAAAAGCAAGGTATGAATGTGACCAAAATACAGTGAATGTTTAACTTTTTAAGAATTCATTAGAGTAAAAGACACATGACCATGAAGTCCCCTCAAAGCACTACCCTGCTTTCTGAATCCATTATTTCTTGCCGTTTTCTGAAGCAGTTCTGGAAGTCCTCTTTCCTAAAGTGTCTTTCATCATACTGTCCTATATGGCTGGAGGCCCTTCATGAAGTCAGTGTGTCTTTTACTGTTCATAGTTTTTTTTTTTTAAATTTGATTGGACCAAGTTATGTGAAAAACAGGCTAAGGGGTTTTGCTTGCAGAAGGCATAGCAGGTGCAAAGGCCCTGAGCACAAGAATGAGCTCAATAGAGGAGACAGTAAGAAAGCCATGTGGCAGGAGCACGGGAGTGCTGAGGAGAAAGGTGGACCTCGAGATCAGAAACAGGAGAGAACAGGTTACGAAGGGCCGTGCAGGATGGGAGGAGGACCAGGTGTAAGTGATGTGGGATGTTAAGGGGGAGATATTAATAGAACCTACTTCCCAGAGTTGTGACTATTAGATCAATTTTTCCTATACTGCTAGCATATAGTAAACTCTGTGTTTGTGGCTACCCTTAGTATTCAATGTTGAATCCAATTTTTTTTTTATTTTTATTGAATGAGCCAGATTAATGTAGAAGCTATAACTTTGACAGTGCATTGTCAGGGAGAAAACATATGTCCCAGCACATCGGTGTTTTTGTCCTGAGCTCCGTGCTCTGCTTCAGAGGACAAGATTTATGTGTGGCTGTGCTTTCCGTGAGCTTCTGCAGCACATGCCCCCCACCACCACCACCGTTCCCTCTCCGTCTTCTCCCTTAGCCTGCTCACATTTCCCTGTAGCTCTGACACCTTCCCGTTGTCCCCACAGATAAAACTGTGAAGCTGTGGAAAGTCAGTGAACGTGATAAGAGGCCAGAAGGCTATAATCTGAAAGATGAGGAGGGCCGGCTCCGGGACCCAGCCACCATCACGACCCTGCGGGTAAGTGCAGAGCCACGTCTCTCTGTAACCTTGGCCTCCTAAGGCTGACCGTGCGCGGCTGCCGCCGCAGGTTACAAGTATAATGTGCACGTGAGGCCACTCGGGCAGAGACTCAGCCTAACCCAGTCTCTGGTGGCAGATGGAGGGGTGGGAAAGGTGCCAAGCCCTAATGACTACAAATCTACACTTTTCCTTTTGTCCTCGGGGACTTGCCACATGGCCTCTGCCATACAGTACAGTACTCCTAGCCTCTGTCTGTTCACATTATCGAAAACATCTTGAGCACCTTCTGTGCTTGGGCAACGGGGAGGAGACTACCTGCCTGGAAAATTTCATTGTGATCGTGTGGTTCAGGACCCAAGCTTCAGAATCTCATGGGTTTAGGTTTGAATTCTGCCACTTAGCAGAACCTCCTAGTCGCTGAACCTTGTTGAGCTTTAGTCATGCGAGTTATTTTTAGTTTGTGCGCCTGCAACATGGCGACCTTTATTCCTACTGCCCGTGGACTTCTGAAGCTGAAACACAAGAGGATGGGAAGCCCTGCCTCTGTGCCCCGTAAACTCAACACGCGATCTCTGTTCTGTCTGAGTAGCTCCCTTCCTGCCTTCCAGAAATGCATATCCTGGTAAGGAAAGAGGATTTCTGTAACTTAATACTTGAATGATTATAACTCTAATCAGAATAAGACACATGCATATAAAGAGCTTGTCAGACAGTTACAGTTTGACCGAAGGAAGAAGAAATTCTCCTTGGTTCTGGGAGGCTAGTAAAGGCCTCAGGAAAGTGGTGGTGAAAATGGATTTCTAAAAGTGAACTTTGGATGCCTCTGATGTGAAATTATACTACAAAGCTACTGTGATAAAATCAGCATGGTACTGGCAAAAAAACAGACCTGAAGATCTATGGAACAGATTAGAAGATGCAGACACAACTACAAACACTCTCAGCCACCTTATCTGTGATAAAGGAGCCAAACATGTTCACTGGAAGAAAGATAGAGTGAATGTTTAACTTTTTAAGAATTCATTAGAGTAAAAGACACATGACCATGAAGTCCCCTCAAAGCACTACCCTGCTTTCTGAATCCATTATTTCTTGCCATTTTCTGAAGCAGTTCTGGAAGTCCTCTTTCCTAAAGTGTCTTTCATCATACTGTCCTATATGCCTGGAGGCCCTTTAATAAATGGTGCTGGAAAAACTGGCTCACCACATGCCAAAGACTAAAACTAGACCCATGTCTATCACCATGCACTAAATTAAAGTCAAAATGTATCAAAGATCTAATATTAAAATAGAAACACTAAACCTACTGGAAGAGAAATTATGTAGAAATCTTGAAGACAGAGGGATAGGCAGAGAGTTCATGAACACAAACCAAACTACATGGAAAATACTTCAAAGAATCAACAACTGGGATCTCACCTTACTGAAAAGTTTTTGCACATCAAAAGAAATTACCAACAGAATAAAATAAAAACCCATGAACTAGGAAAAAGATTTAGCCAAGTCTCCCTCAGACAAAGGACATCTATCTAGAACATATAAAGAATTGAAAAAAATCAGACCCCCCCCCAAATTTAAAGACCCAGTACAAAAATGGACATCTGAGATGAATACATGCTTCTCAGATGAAGAAATACTAATGGTGAATAAATATATGAAAAAATGTTCAACATCATTGGTCATTCCAGAAATGCAAGTTAAAACAACACTAAGATTCTATCTCACCCAAGAAAGAATGGCTATCATCAAGAAATCAACCAATAACAAATGCTGGAGGGGCTGTGGGGAAAAAGGAACCCTTCTCCACTGTTGGTGGAGGTGTAGACTGGTACAACCACTGTGGAAATCAGTGTGGGGATTCCTCAAGAAAACTAGGATTAGAGGTCCTACTTAACCCAGCTGTTCCCCTTCTGAGTATTTTTCCAGAAGAACTGAAAACATCATACCAGAGTGATATATATGTACCCATGTTTATAACAGCACAATTTGTCATAGCTAAATCCTGGAAACAACCCAAATGCCCATCCACTGAGGAATGGATAAAAAAGATGTGGTATTTTTATACAATGGAGTATTACTCAGCCATGAAAAGGTAAACTCGAGGCATATATAGGTAAATGGATGCAACTACAGACCATTTTCATAAGTGAAATAAATCAGACCCACATATGTATACATTGTATTGTGTCTCTAACGTAAGAACCTGAAAGAGTAAATAAAACCCAAAAGGTACAATAGATAGTGTTGAAAGGGAAAGAAATTGCTCAAAGGAAAGGAACAACTGGGATGAGGGAAAGGAGAAAAGAAAGAAAGAAGGAAGGGGAAAAAATACATACCTATATTCAGGGATAGCTGGGATAATTGTACTATTGATGTCTCTTGGTTTATTGAAAGGAACAGTTAATGCCTAAATTCTTTGACCAATTTAGCATGCTTATATCCGGTAATCTGAACGACTAATTTGGAGACAACAATATGCAATATAACAACCATTGTTGAATTCCTACCACCTTGATTAGTGAAACTCGGTATCATTTCTAATTTTTTCATTATTTTTTATTCTCTTTAATGGTTTGATCAATCTTGCATTCTCACATCTGGTAATCTGAGCAACTGAGCTGAAGATAGCAATATGTAATACAACAACCACTGTTAATTCCCTATCATCTTGCTTCGAAACTCTACCATTTTTATTGTTTTTGTGTTGTTTTGTTTTTGTCTTTGCTGTTGTTTTGGTTTTTTCTCTTTACAATAACAAAAATTACCTAAAAGTGAGCTCGTAAGACAAGCCTCTCTAGATGTAGGTTAAAGTGGCTCAAGGCTAGATGATTGATATTAGCTTTAAATACGTTCACTGTGAAGAGTAAAGCAGACACATGTGGCGACCAGCCCTGGCCACAAGGGACTTTTGCCATTGTGTAAAACATGTGCTTTCAGACACCAGCTGCTCTAGTGAGGACCAAACACTGAGAAAGGAAGATAGTGAAACAGATGTGGAGAAAGGGGGCTCTTTCTCTGGGTTTAAGAGCGTAAATGGGAATTAGATCATTATTCAGTGGCTGATTAGCTCACTTATTCATTCATTCATCCATCCATCCATCCATCCATTTATTCATCAAATGCTTTTGAACACAGACTGAGCTGGCCACTCTGGTGCTTGGAGATTTGTCCAGTACTGAGGGGAGCTGAGTCTTTCCTCAGCACCAACACCCAGTGGCTGCTCTGTTTCCTCTGGTTAGCCCACCCTTTCCACCCTAGCTAACTTCCCTGCACATATAGCTATTAGGCTTGGTGCAAGAGACACACAGCCATCCTGATGTTGTAAGTGTGCTAAGCTTTTGGAGACCGAGAACAGAGCGGTAAAGAGTAGGAACATCCAGTTGATCTGGTTGGCTTAGAATTTGGGCTCCATTACTCTCCCGCTGGTCACTGTGAGTATTCACTTGAGCCCCGTGTGCCTGCAGTGTCTTACCTGAACTTAGCCTGTGTAATGTCTGGTTCACAGAAAGTGCTCAATGTTAGTTCCCTGATGTGGTTAAAGGATTACCACCACCTCTGCCACCATCATCACCATCATGGCCTACCCCTGCTGATCATTCCTATTCAGATACATACACATATATGGAAAGCATGTCATTTTTATACTCTTCTGTTCATTCTACTCAAATGTACCAAATAAGCAGTGAACAGTGTTCTCATGACACAGCAGATAACTAAGACCATCTTTTGCCCAGGGGCAATATCATGGGGAAAAAACGGTGGATTAGGAAGAGTTTATGCCAAGAACTGCTGTCCAGATTTCATCTTGTCCTTGTTTGCCATGTGGGTGGAATTTCTCAGATGCTATGGATCCCTTTTGTCCATGACATCCTCTGGGACTCTCTTTATGGATGCATAACCTCTCTAGGAGTTCATCCCTGTGATAAAGAGGAGATAAGGCCTATTTAAGTTCCCAGTAGAGCAGAGATCTTCCCTGCGGCAAGACAGTGATGCAAATGAAGACTTCAGAGCAAACATAGAATGAGGCCCGGAGGTGTGGCTGGGAGATAGAAAATCCCAGTTCTTGCTTTTTTTTTATTAACCAGCTGTGTGACCCTGGCCAGCCAGACACATTTCTTCACTCTAAGCCTTGTTTTTAAGCTGCCACGCAGAGGCCTCGCAAATGCATGTTCTTGAGGCCCATCCCCGCCGGCGTGCTCTGAGGAATCTGTATTTTCAACACTGGACTCCGTGGTTGAGGCAAGAGAGGCTATGGTAACTGGACACTCCCATCCCTAACACTCCTTGGAATTGACACTTTCGTGAGCCCCTGCTGTTGTTCAACCATGTGACATTAATGTACCAATTTGGGAGACATAGTTCCCTTAGAATTACTTTACCCATATCTGATTTTGCTTCCTCTCCCTTCCTAAGCTTTCAAATATCCTGCATTTCAATGTAAACACCCACACACCAGCATTCTTCCTTTCTGTACAAATCATGAAAATGCCAGCCTTCTTTTCTCTTTGATCCCAGTGGTAGAAGAAGAAAAAAAAAAAAAAGCAACCCTGAAAACTATAGATTCAAAGCAATGACTCCAAAAAGAGAATGAGTTGACATGATATTAATCAGACTATAATTTACTAACATGCTCTGCTCTTGAAATTTGCATTGCCAGCAATCTTTTTTTTTTTTCTTTTCTTTTTCCTTCTCTATACTATGATTCCCTCTCACTCACTTTCACGGCATCCGGTTCTGTGCTGGGCCTGAGAGTGAGAGCATTTAATAATACCCGACAGCTAATTAATCCACCCTGTGTAATGAACCTGTTCTCTTTTGGTTCTGAGAGGTTCAGCTTTTCAAAGCAAGAATGTGGCTATTTTTTTTTTTTCACGGAAGATACCCTTTCACATCCAATCACTTGTTACCCAAAGAGCCTGTGAGAAGCATTTCTATGAAAGCTGCACCCACTACTCATTATTGTAACATTCAGAGTAATAATCATGATAATTTAATAA